GTGGGGGAAGGTTTCCAGCCCAGGTGAGCACCTTCGTCTACCTCCCATGTCACCTAACCTCCTTGGATTTCTTCCCTTTAGAGTGAGGGTCTGAGGGACAGAGAGGGTCAGGGCCTGGCCAAGGCTGCACAGAGAAGATGAGACAAAGGTGGAAGAAGCCTTGGTTTCCTCCTCTGGGACCAGGGGCTGAGACAGTCCTGCCCATGGGATCCAGGCTTCATGGATGTCAGACTGGGACCCTGACAGTGACCCCAAGCTTCCTGCTGGGTTCACTCTATCCTGGCCGGTTCCTGAAAGCTCGGGGACCCAAGACCTGCTCCCCCTGGGCTGCTACTGCAGGCAGCACCCTGCAACCCCAAAGCCTTGAGCTGGGCAGGCCAGCTGCAGAGGGTGGACTGGAACCCTCAGGTACAGACACAGAGGCCAAGCCTTCAGGAAAGGACTGGAGGCGGCTCACTGATGGGTCTGGAAGGGGGTGTGGGTGGGAGCAGTCAGTGGTAGGCAGGGAGAGGGAGGACCCCCCCAAACCAGCTCATCTCGCACCATTTCTGCTCCTCGTTGTTGACCCAGAGCAATGAGGCGGGGTCTAGGAAGGAGCCCTGACCTGAGGTCACAACCCATGGAAAGCACCAAAGCCCAGCATGAGCCAGCCCTGCCCCCTGGTGACAGTGGCCTTGCTAAATGACTTCCCCTCTTTGTCCTTACAGTGGGGAGGAGAACCTCTGAAGGAAGAAGTGAGGCACAAACAAGGTGACCAGCAGGTGGCACTGGCCCTGGGGAAGTGTCCACTCCTGCAGGGTGCCTGCTGGTGGCCACTTGCCCCAGGCCAGACAGGGGCTCTGCTCAGCAGTGAGCTGCTTCTTAGGGGGCATTTCCTCCTGTCCCCACCTGTCTGCACATCGCCTGCCTGCTCCTCACTCTATGCCAGAGAAGATTGAGGCCCAAACTGGTCAGGAAGCATACCGAAAACCACAGAATCAGTTGCTCACAGAACTGGGATTTGTTCCTAGATGTATTGACCCCAGAACTGGTAGTTTAATCCTTTCTCTTGTATAAAATTGAAACCAGAAAGAGGAACAGAAAACCTCAAGATATCACGGTCATGAAGACAGGAAGCTCCTTTAGCTAAAATGAGAGCCTCTGAGGCCAGATGCTAGAATTCTATTCTGTATTCACTATGTGACCTTGGACACGTTACTCACCTCTCTGAATCTCAGTTTCCT